TAAGAAACCAAACAACAATAAATGGAATGAAAACATCAGATCAAGCCTGGAGCAGGATGCCTTGTTATCTATTTCACAAACAATGAGAAGGCAACTGAGTCCTCACTCAGAGGGCGCATGGGTGTTGAAGCCATTCTCTGATGCAGAAATAATAAAAGAATGCATGAAGTGATGGAGACATGTTTGAAGGCAAACAAAAAGGGAAATAACAGGTCCAAATTCAAGCAAATCCCCTCTCAGATTCCACAGCAACCAGAAGAACAGAATACTGGCTGGTGATTTGATGAATCAGCTTTGTGATGGAATACAAAATGCACAGTGCATTTCCTTAGCTGTGGATGAGTCCACTGACACCACTGACTGTTTGTTGAAGATGTGTTGGGCCTGACGAACCTCAGTGGACACACAAGGGGGCAAGACATTTATAAAGAGATAATGGGAATGCTGAATGAAAGAGGGTGCAGCTGCGACTCTGAGGGATCAAGCACAGACACAATAACAATGAGAACTGCTGCATACAGATACTTTTTGTTTTTGCAACCTCGTGTTAAGAATCTTTTTGCAATTATTAAACGTTTGAACGACCGTAATAAACGGACCTTTGTCTTATTGAACATTTTCTCCTTTAAGATTTGTATTTGAGTACCCCTGCTTTAGGCCTTCCTCGGGTTGCCTGCAGTGTGCGGTTGTACTTCCTGTTTCTATGTGTTATAACAAGTTTGCAACAGAGTTGGTTTGACGCAAGAGTTCCTGACTAAACAATGTTTCTACACAGAAACATACCAACACAGTGATCGGATCATCAGTCTCACACAAAGGCTCCTTCAGTGCCGAGCCACCTCCGGACCAAACACCATGCACAGTGTGACTCAGGTGAGGAACACATGCTGACCCCATTGCACATCTCAGTGTAATCCTTCAACGTCCCCCTCCCCCCTCTCTTTCCCAAAACTAGTTTAATTAATAATGCTGCTGTATAATGGCAGCCCTGGTGAAACCCTGCGAGGCGTTCCTCTCAGGCTTGTTCTGGCATTAGCTCCTCGCTGGCCTACTTTGCACCCGGCCCTCTGAGCCTGTATGTGGGGGATCATTGTCCCTCGCTCCTCCGCGGTGTTCTTTGAACCTGGAGCCAAGCGAAGCCTTTTGAACCGGCTGCTTCTCGCTTCACACTGAGGAGCTTTGTAATGCTCAACTTCAAAATGGGCAGTTTATTCAGTTATGATGCTGGTTTGAAGGAAACGTGTGAGTAAATTGGAAAAGGAGGTGACTTATAGACTTATAGACGTTCGCAGCTGCCTGTGTTATCTACACACACACAGAAAGTCTCTTTCATGTGTGACTGTTCATATGCGCAGACACACACTCATGTCTACGTGTCACACCTACCTTGTTGTCTTGGAAACAGGGGGCTTGGTGGGAGTTGCACAGGCAGTCTTAGGAGCTGGAGGAGAGGAGAAAAGAGGAGAGGTTAAAGGAGAAGAAAAGGAGGAGAGGTTAGAGGAGACGAGTGGAGGCAAGATGAGAGGACGTGAGAGAAGAGGAGGAGAAGGTTAAAAGCAAATGAGAAAAAAGGACATGAGAAGATGACTGAAGAGAAAGGGAGAGGAGACAAGAGAAGAATAGACGAGGATACGTTAAAGCAGATGAGTGGAGTCGAGATGAGAGGATACGAGAAAAAACAAGAGGAGAGATTAAAGGAGAGGAGATAAGAGAAGGAAAGGTTAGAGGAGACGAGAGAAGAGGAGGAAAATAAAAGGTTAAAAGTAGACGAGAAAAGAGGACAGACGAGAAGTGGAGAGGAGAGAAGTCAAGAGGAGATGAGACAAGGAGAGGTTGAAGGAGATGAAATGAGGAGTAGAGGATGCCAGAGAAGACGAGTGAAGCTGAGATGAGAGGACACAAGAAGAAAGTAGGATAAGTTAGAGAAGAGGAGATGAGAGGAGACGAGAAGAGGTTAGGTGAGACGAGAGGACACGAAATGAGAGGACACGAGATGAGAGGACACAAGATGAGAGGACACAAGATGAGAGGAGCAGAAAAAGGGTTAAAAGCAGGCGAGAAAAAAGGATACGAGTAGATGACATGTAGAAAAAAATGGAGAGGAGACATGACAAGAGGAGACATGAGGAGACATGACAAGAGGAGGAGAGGTTAGATCAGAAAGGAGGAGACATGAGAACAAGAGAGAAGAGAAACAGAAAGGTTTAAAGGAAAGGAGACAAGTGAGGAAAGGAGGAGACAGAGGAGAACAAGAGAGAAGAGAAACAGAAAGGTTTAAAGGAAAGGAGACAAGTGAGGAAAGGAGGAGACATGAGAACAAGAGAGAAGAGAAACAGAAATGTTTAAAGGAGAGGAGACAAGTGAGGAAAGGAGGAGACAGAGAAGAACAGCGTCACACTACAGTATAGTAACATATACAGTAACATACAGTATATCACAGATATAGGTCGTGCTATGGGGAAGTAGGGCAAACGCCTCTGCAGATACCCAGCAGCCACTGGGGCATGTGTAATCTGTGCTGATCCGTGTCATCACATTACATTGAACACCCCTCATTAGAGCTGTGAAAACACGTCATGCTACTACGCTAACTCTGGATGTGTATATCCCCCCCACAACTTTTTGTGTTATGGTGACATTTCCAACCAACCTAGAGGCTTCTTAGCGGGGGCCGCGGTGATGCTGCTGGTTTTGACACCGTTAGCGGGAGCGGGCGCTGGCCTCTTGGCCGCGGTTGTTCCGGTCATCGACTTCACTCCGTTGGTGGCGGGAGACGCCCCCGTGGGTTTCTTCTCACCCACTTTGCTCTTCAGGGCCGGGGACGGGGTCGTGCCTGTTGGTTTTTTGACAGCGGCTGTTGTGGGGGTGTTCTTTTTAACTGCGGCGGGGGCGGGTTTCTTCGCCACGCCGTTAGTCTGGGGCTTAGTCGTGCCGTTTGAGAGGCGGCTCTGAGTTGTGTTGGTCTTGGACCCGGTTGAGGTCTTACTTGGGGCCGTGGTGCCGGGTTTTGTCTTGTTGGACGGGGCCTTGTTGGTAGTCTTGGCTTTGGGGTCTCCTGTAGTCTTGTTGTTAGTCTTAGCGGGGGTCTCCTTAGCCTGGTTTGGCTTTGCGTCCCCCGTCTCTTCTATGGTGGGCTGTGACACCTCCTCCGTCACCGGGCTGGCGGCCTGGTTGCCCTCCAGTCCATCTGCCTCATTCACCGGGTTGGATTCCAGTGTTTCCATTGGCTCTTGCGTTGCCGTGGCAACCCCATCCGGCTTCATCTCCCCTCTGTTGTCGGTGGTCCGTCTCTGCAAGGCAGGGCCGACGTAAATCTCGCAGGATGGCCAAGGGTATGCAGGATTTCTGGAGACAACGAGGTCTGGTCTGCAGAGAGAAGATAATGAAACAAAGTGAGTCAGCACTGAGAGCAGACATGACGAACAGAGCGGCAGGAATGTTGATCACGCCGGGAATCAGATAACGGGATGGCTGGGATCTGCTTACAGCTTCAGCATCACTCACACACACAGGGTTTATTTGCTTTAGGCAAGTTTGGAATTTTTAATGGAATCATTTCAAGACCAATTTGACCGTAACCAAAGTTGCGGAAAGAATACTGGCACTGCTTTGTTTCCAGTAGTGCAACGTTTCTGCACAAGGGAGGGAACTTTGGGATTCTAGCCTTTGCAGACCTGCAAAACCATGCACTCAAAGCTATATAACACCCCAAAAAGCCTAATATGCCCCCTTTAAGACTTTTTAACAGCAATTTAGTACCAATTGAGTTTTAATGTATGAATTCAATGCCTTTTAGGATCCCTGACACACAGACACATTGTTATGCAGGCGTCCAAATATTAGCAGGCAAATGGATTGTAGGACAGAATTGGAACAGGATGCGCCAGAATACTGCAGATGAAACTGCTGCAGAGACCCAGGAGAGGCCTGAAGCCTGAGCAGGATATCATGTTATGTTTTCTGTCTGAGGGACCACAGGAGGAGGGACAGCACAAACAACACACTCTACAAATAGCCGTTCATTCATTTCAACGCCAACTGCAGTGCAGCGGCCAGCGGCCCCTCTGTGATGGTAGAAAGCTCAGTGACACACTTGGCTGCCAGCTTCCTCTGTGCAAAATGGTATTGGACTCACTCGTGTGGAAGACTAGCTTTCATCTGGGATCGTACACTTTAGGGAGAGCAAAAAGCTTTAGCACGCAAACTGTGAAAACACACAGTAATAATGTCGAATCATGCAACTTTTGAATGTGCACATGCATGACAAAAGCTAGCCTGCTTCTTACTATTAGGCTAAGAAGAACAGTATGGTGAGGTGGGATGAAAAAGACTTGTATGTGTATCCACTAAGTGGGTCAAGGCGCGTACAAGAAACCCAAATATAGGAGGACAGTTTGACTCATGGGCCACAAACGGAGCAGTCACAGACATGAGGGAGAGGAGACCGTGAAGCATATGAGGCCTGATAAAAGGGCAACCATCTGTAACACGAGCTGTCATGCATTGTCTGCGTCAATGAGACAAATGTGTCTTATTTTATTTCCTCGGCTAGTTGAGGTAAGCATGAGAGGAAACAGATTTGGTAGTTTAAGAGAAGCAGAGGGGGGAGTAAGGGGGG